ATTTTCTCTCAACGAATTGAATAAATTAATATACAAAATCTATTCTTGAAAAATATCATTCGTATGACAAATGTAGTATCAACTATGACAAATGTAGAAATATGTCCAGTAGTAACCGTCAACATACACACTGCACCCATCAATAGAATCGACATGGCTTTTTCCATAGGAACAAAATATTACATTATTTTCTGTTGGGAGTTTAAAGGCCATGGTAGAGGGGTTAGTCGGGATATTCTTTGAGCGCGCTATATAACATGGAAGCTAATTGTTCGGGAACCGTGAAGCATCCAAAACTGTCAACTTTAAAGATAAAGAAAAAACATTTGTTATGAATGTTTGTAATTCTTTAAGAATACAATATCCGCCCAAATAAAAAGCAAGGAGAAGGTAGTGCTAAAATGCACGATTATGACCGGTGTCAATAGATCGATAATTTTTAGAATTCATTAGGAACTCGAGGAAAACAACAGCTTTTTGGAGACGAAAGTATCCAATGGCAGAAAGTGTTTGGTTATCGACCAAGAAGTCAAGAATTCTATTAAAACGATGTATCGTTACAATAAAATATTTAAACAAAATTAGTTTTCACCATATTTCATTATCTTCGCATGCATACAGAATATATCTTGGGAAAATCTATATTATACCCCCGTCTGCTTTGGCTCATTAAAGACAATGTATAAAAAACAAACACTTTTACCAAACACCAGAACTACAACCATTTTTTGACGCGCATTTCACCGACCAAGTTAGCGTCTTCAGGAGATAAGGTAAACTGCTACTTCAGTCCAATTTGTCTCCTGAAGGTGTGCTGGTGATTGGGAAAAGTGCATGTTTTGAATTTTTTCTACGCCAGACGTTCCAGGTTTTTTCGCAGGACAATGTATTTCAACAAAATCCATCACAATGCATCATTTACGACGCGTCAGAGATCCGTGTGCATCTAACACTACATCTCAACATAACCTATTCGACTTCTAACATCTTTGCCCCAATTTCAGATAAAAATCTTGAAGAATTGTTTGAAATACGAAATTCAAATTAGGTTGTAGGTCAACTTATCTAAATAACGATTGTAACAACTAAGATAAGAGATGACAGTGACTTTCAAACAAAAAAAAGAAAACTAAAATTTAGTCTTAATCATGAAAAAATTCATCAAAATACAAGATGAGGATGTGAAAGATGTGATTTTAATAATAATAATTTAATAAGATGGCGACCGATATGATTTCGATTGTCAGGTTGGCGGGAATTCAGTCAAAATGTTTAAGAAAGTCAATTACTAAAGTGTCGACGTTTCCAAACTTCATTGTTTCATCTTCAGGACTCTGAAGTATAAGAACAAAACATTCATATTAAAATGGGATTCTGCAATGTAGTTTTGTTAAAAACAAAATAAATTATGTAAAGTAACAATCGTTAGAAAATAATAAAACGTTTCGAACACTATGCAGAAAACAACGTTGTAAGTACTCATCAACGTACTTCATAGCAGCTCCTCTTCCAGCTAGACTACAGACCGAATCCCAAAACGATGGAAGATATTTACTTATGACTACCCACAAAACAAACATCTGTTTGAAAGATACAGGATATACTATACTCACTGACAACTGCTAAAGTACAATGAAATCATCTGATCGCGAAGAAGAGTGACTGAAAGTAGTGAAATAGCCTACTGAAATTCTACAAACTTTGCAATTTCATAGTCCTTGTTAAGTAATATTTTTACCAGTCATTCAAGAAAGATTTCTTGTTATTTGGAATAAAATGCTGAAGTAAAATAATCTTGTTTTTTTTCAAAACACACTATATCTTTTTTTATCAGTCTTTGAATGTTAAAAAAATGTATTTTAGAGAAAACTAACTCCGGGTTATGGTCGAATGGAACCTGAATTACCATTCCACCACGGATTTTGTTCTCTCTAATCGTGACCCCGGCTGTCGGAGCCTATGTTCTGATATTTCATTGTTTGTTCTGGAAGGAGACCACTTTTCTTTCCAGAAACCAAATAATGGAAAACAAAACTATCACAAATTGACAGTCATGTTGAGGAAATACATGATTCTCATTTGATTTCATTCACTGACAAATGTCTAGACGTCTTCCATTGATGACCTATTCATTTTATACAAATTAATTTTGAATATAGAATAACAAAATAATTTTGGTCTAATTTTCACTAGATTGGATTGTCGGGGAGCTGGCCCCTGACCAGATTCACTGCGACCTTTTCAGATCTATTATGATGCTCCTTGGTTGATAGAGTTCATTGTCTACCTTGATCTCTTTGATGAGACTCCATAGCCTTGACACTGACCTCTCCATATAGCTGGCAGCCTCTGGTTTCTCTTCCCCGCATCTTGCGTGTCTCAGCCTTGCTATCGCTTCGCATTCACAGAGCATATGCAATGCTGTTTCTTCCTCTTCTTGACAGAACCTGCATCGGGTTTCTTCTGTCAGACCCATGTTGTTCATATGTTTCCTGAGTCGGATATGCCCCGTTAGTAGACCCACCACTACCCTTACAACCTTACGGTTGTGGTTTAGCAGGTCTTCCGTGAATCTGGGCGATTGTTTCTTTATGAACTACTTCGCCTACCTCATTCCTGGGAGCTTATTCCACCAATCTATCCATTCGGCTTGCATCCATGAGTTTATAGATACAACTTATACATACAACTTAAAGTTTAATGTATAAGTTTGAAAATGTCCTCATAGGATGAAACTGCAGTAATGTTAGTTACAAATAAAAGTGGTAAAAAACATAGAAAGTTTTCAATTATCTTTTCTTCTTCATATATGCTCTCGCTTCCCTGCAGAAGGTTTCTGGGCCGATCATAGCCTTGGAGGCGCCTTCACGGGCTAGACTGAGCTCCTCAATTGCCGCCTGGCTGTCGGAGAAAATGGTTTCAATTGTGACCTTCTGCCTATGTATTTTTCCTACACAGTGTTCGATGGCCGCTACTTCTGCCTGGAACACAGTTGCATTATGTCCGAGGCTGAGTGCGATTCTTGTCTGTGCTCTGCCTCCGTATATACCGGCTCCCACTCCTTCTTGGGTCTTTGAGCCATCTGTATATCAAGTTTTTTCCGCTTTTACCGGTGGGCCGTTTTGCCAATCCTCTCTACTTGGTATGATGATTTTTAAATCTTTTTGAAAGTTGTACTGCGATTTGCCTTTAGTTCATTGTACACTTTCAATTATTCTGCACCGTGTGATTAGCTGATAGGGGTTTGCCCCTACATTAGCCTCTGTATCACCAGTCGAGCTTCTCTTCGTATGTTAGATATGTAATGGTGAAAGTCCAAGTAGGATCTCAAGTGTTACAATTGGGGACTGGCTCCCGTGACATCTAGGTAATCCAGCCTTTGTCTGCCACCTAATAGCCTAGCCGTACCCGATTGCTTTGTTCTTGTCCTCCAAGTCACTACACCGTATATTATCATAGGTCTCACTACCCTTGTATATAACCAGAGTGTCATTTTTGAGTTCAGCCCCCATTTTTTTCCGCACATTCTTCTGCAGATTACCAGGGCCATCCTGGCCTTGTGTGCTATTTTTTGGGATGTGGATGTTCCACGTGAGCCTGTGATCGAAAGTCACACCTAAGTATTTGACTTCCGTGGCGAAAGGGATCTTCACTTCATTGAGTAATGGTGGTTTTAGTACTCGCATCACTATTTTTCTTGTGAACACGACGACATTGGTTTTTTGGTCATTCACTGAGAGGTTCACATGCTCGCACCATCTGCCGACGAAGTTCATGGTTCTTTGTCAGCATATCTCGGGCAATATATGCCTTCTTCAGATAGTTTTCTGAGAAGATCGACTACTAGGGTTGCCCATATCAATGACGACAGTACGCCTCCTTGTGGGCATCCCCGCTCTGCACTTACCTGTGCGGTAGCCTCTCCGAGAGTCTAATTTCCACTAAGTTTATTATTTGTTACGACCGGTTTCGGTTTGTTAGACCATTCTCAAGTATTTGCTAGGAATATTGATAAACTTTCAAACTTTATTGTTGTTGTTCATTAAAATGTCTGAAAAATTATAATTTTTTTAAATACAATGTAAAGCAATTTACAATGTAAAGCAACTTATTCTCATAAAATATAGCAGTTTCCTCTGTCTATTCACTAATACAACTGCAACAGTTATTTAATCTTTTGTTACTTTTGTGCCTGATATATTAAAGTACTTCCACGGGAAGCACATTACAAGCCACCTGCGCTTAGGCTGCTTTCCTCAAACTCCTAGTGGTCCTAACCATAATATTAATAAATTGTATATTAACATATTCCAAATAAAATTGAATTGAATTGAATTGAATTTGATTTCGCTGTGGTTCATTTTCATCCTTTTTTGTAATTTTCTTCTGAACTTCCATCGCTAATCTCAGACATATTATGAAATCTACATGTAATATTTTTCACACAGCTTAGGCATTTAGCAATAAATTTGTTTCAGAAAGATGAAAATTCTTTTAGCACGGTTTTAATCTTGAAAATTCGACCTGATAACACGTTGGAATTTCAACTCCACGATTTTATTTCACTTTACATTTTCTCGGTAATTCACAATTTTGACGAGTTTGTGAACTTTTGTCGATTTTACTTATCACTCAGACATTTACAACAGATAAAATCTACACCTTAATAATTTAACTGCTTTCCTGTAGTACTTATGCATATTTGTAAAACGTATCCTATCGAAACTTATCTTTCTCGTAGATACTGAATTTTTTAGGACACTATGTACATGCAGACCAAGTAAAAAATTATTTTAATTGTCCTCACCATTATATTTGCTAATAATGAGTTGAACAATCAAAAATGATTTTCGAATCACCTTGTGTAATGATATCCCTTTGAATGATTAGCATTTTTTGTCTTCGATCACAACGATACAAAAACGTAATACGATTGAATGTAGAGTTAAAAATAAGCAATTTCCGAGCTTTGGAAACCTATTTGATAATATGCAGTGGCCCAGTGAAGTTTTTTAAATGAAAAAGTTCTCAATTTCAAATTTTGCTTTGTACATTTCGATGAAATTGTGATCTGAGAACATAACATTTCCGTTTTTTGTTATGAAAGATAACTTCGTCGGCTTTGTATTCTGTTTGGTTAAACAAGTAACTTGTTTGAGAATCGCTGTTACCGAAAAATCTCACTCGGACTTTCCGTATAAAAGCTCCCGAGTCAAAACTGAGAGACTTTAGTCGTATACAGGCCCATCTAGGGCTCAATACCCAAAATTCTTCACCTGGGCTTTAACCTTGACTAGCGCAATGGACAAGCCCGACTTATACTCCAAGTACAGTGATTTGCAAAGATCGGACAACCTATTCGTTTTGGACAATTATCTAGACGTCTCCGGTTGGAAGGCGGAAGACGCCGTTCTGGACGTCGGAAGTGGAGATGGCAAGTTTCTCATCGAAAATTTGTACCCTCGCTTGCCGGAAAATATCGGGAAACTCGTTGGTAGCGATTGTTCGGAGATAATGGTTAACTTTGCGAAAGAAAGGTATTCTGTTGATGAGGTGGAGTTCGCCCAATTGGACATCAGTTCTCAGGAACTTCCGCCAAATTTTGAAAATGGCTTCGACCACATTTTTTCTTTCTATACGTTGCACTGGGTGAGAGAACAAAGGTGAGTCAAAAAAACAGTTTACTTACAGAGATCATGTACATTTTCATATACTTCTTTCCATCGAAAATACCTTTTCAAGTTTCTTCTTCTTCAGGTATTGATATAATTTGAAGCTGGTAAAAGATATTTGTGCACATTCATGAAACACTAAACAGTTCAACGTGGCTTACAGAACAAATAATAATTCATGCAAATTTATTAAAAACAATGAAGACAAAACCTCAGTGACGGATAGATCAGGAATATATAAGCTGACTTGTTTTTCTTGCCCAAAACTTTATATTAGCCAAACGGGGAGAACTGCAATCCAAAGAATTAAAGAAAATAGAAGCAGTTTCTTGAATGGAAAGATCATTTAGAAGAGAAAAGTTTGAAACTCAACCTTTTAGAATATTTAGAAATAAATAGATTTAAGAATTCGGGTCATTTACTGAATGACCAAATAGAATTAAATAACTCTCATATATTTTTCCAAATGTGGAAAGTGGTAACTAACTGATACATAAGCTTATATTCAGTACATGTTTATTTCGAAGAGTTTATACATTTTTTCCACTTTTTATGTTATTGTTGATCGATTTATTCTCAAACTCAGGTACAAATTTAGTTGGGTAGGTAAAACTCAGGCACTCGATATTCAGGGACTTCAGATTGTCGAATATATATAAAGCACTTAATATGTAGATTTTAGTTAGTTAGGATATACACGTCTGAAGAAGCTATTGGATAGCGAAACCCGTCGTTTGTGTAAAACTCTCTAGTGAAAATCTGACAATGAAGTGTTTCTTGAATACGTTTTATGTGTCGGCCGAATTCATCACGTATATAATGCAATCGTGGTTGAACCTAGCACCACTGATTGGACCAATGCATTTTTTTATTTGTATTCATTATGTTTATGAATATGGATTAACTAAATTAACTGAAGATACAAATTCAATAAAATAATGAAATATTGAACAAGAAAACACAAGTAATTGATATAGCATAAATAAATAATCCTAGAAATTTAATAAAATGGGTATAACTTTGTCAATAATTAGATGGCTGGTACAACCGTTCAATAATCTTTTAGAAATTAAATCGTTGTGAATTTTGTAGAAGGTATATATAATTGTTAAATTTACCATATGCATTTTCTTTTTTGTATTTTTTACGAAATGAGTAAAGCTCTCAGTTACTTCTCGAGTAGGAATACCATTATTTACTACATATACATTATTATATGTGTAGATATCCTTCAATTGTTTTGTTTCATTAGTACAGTCTGTGTCTAAATGTAACTTCTATTATTGATCTACACATTTTTGTAAAGAGTTTATTTAGAAATTATTTCTTTCTTCCTCCGTTGGGATGTTTACCAAATTTTTAGATCATTCATAATAAAAATATCATATTGACTAGACCAAAACATTAATTTTTCAGGCAGACTTACGATAATATGTACAAAATACTGAAGCCTGGAGGAGACATGTTGTTAACATTTTTGGCAAGTAATGGCATTTACGATATTTATCTGAACATGGCGAAAAATAAGAGATGGAAGCCATATTCAAAAAAAGAATACATCGCCCCATTCCACGGAATGAAAAACCCGGAAAAGCAATTGGAGAAACTCCTCAAGAAAAGTGGATTCAAGTGTAACGTGTGTAAAGTAGAGAATAGGTTGTTTGCATTCCGCAACTTGGACAGTTTTCGAAGTGAGTATGAAAATTCAATATCACAATTGCTATTCATTAATAATGAATAATTCAACATATGGTGATATATTTATAAGAACGTACAATAACCAATAATTCGGATAAAATTCTAAATAGTTCGACAACTACCTTGACCAGAGGAGTGGATCCTCCGGGAGAAGGAAATATTAAGAGCAGATAGTTGTTGGTTTACAGATGGATCAAAAACACCTTCCGATTCTGGTGCAAGTGTTTTCAGTCGCTGACTCAGGACAGAAATATCTACCTGCCTAGGAACTTATGCGACTATATTTCAAGCGGAAATGTACGCTATTGAATTATGTGCAGAGAGATTGGAAGAATCCAACCTCATACACAAGTCAATAAAAATATTCTCAGACAGTCATGCGGCGTTGAAAGCTCTTAGCTTCTTTCGAGCAACTTCTAAATTGATAGCAAATTGTCAAAAACGACTCTCCTCGACAGGAAGACTTAACAGATTGTCTCTGGTCTGGATTCCTGGCCATACTGACCTGGAAGGCAATGAGGCTGCTGACTCCCTTGCAAAGGAGGGTGCTGAAGCAGCTTCATCGGCCCAGAACCTGTCATGGGCATAGCTTTAGGCTTTGCCAAACAAACATTGAACACCTGGATGGCAAGAAGATATATGGACTTCTGGCAGAATTTTCAAGGATTGGCTCACTCCAAGGCGTTTATTCACCTTTCGAAGCTTGATACCAAACAGTTGTTGGACTACAGTAGGGATGAACTACGATGTCTAACAGACCTTCTTACAGGTCACCGTCATTTGAATTATCATATGCAGAGACACGGACTGTCGGAAGACAGTGTGTGTTGCCTCTGTTTGGAAAATGATGAAACAGCAGAGCATATACTTTATGCCTGCTTCGCTGGGGACCGAATCAGATTTTTAGAGTTCGCAGAGCCGTACTCTTACCATCTGACCTGAAATACCACTCACCATACAAACTAATCGGCTTCGTTAAGAAGCCATTTTGGGATGCAGTGGAGGGTCGAATAGACCCATTCACTTTAGACCTAACCTAACCTTGACCAGATATTTTTTCAAGAGAGAAAAATTTGGGTTGATTTTGCAATGCTGAATGGCTGACAGACTGCGAATATTCATGATGATCCATGAGTGGCTTGGAAAGTTATTAACATTGAATTCACAGATCACGATGCAGAACAAAGCAATCGATACCGTTGACACCAAAAAAAAATTAAATAATGGATTATATGCAGCAGGAATTCACGGATAAAAAACCAAGCATAGATCTGGAACAGAAATTTCGTTCCAGCTAGACACTCTGGTTGCGTTGCAATGAAAGCTGTAGTGAAAGACAGATGACGAATCTTGTTCGGCATCGATGTAGAAGCTTGGCTTTGCAAGAATCACCATGAGGAGTCTCGTTTATCTTTATACTTTATGGATTGAATATTCTGTCGATTCCATAGATGGAGTCTTGATGAGGGGAGATATCACCCAGGCTTGTCTTTAAAGGGCAGACGAGTCCAGCATTCGTTGTTCAGCCTAGTACCATTGACGAGACCTACAGCGGGATTGAATCACGAATATATCACAGGAGAAAAGCAATGTATGAACCACCCAAATTATGTTCAGAAGAATGAGCAAAGAACCTGTACAAATTAGTACCAGACTGTCAGAATGGGTGTCATGCAGAAATGGGAGGGAAATATTTGAAAAATCGATGACGACATCGTTACTAGAAGATAGGTCATCCTGTACACGAAAAATAAAGTGAATTTTCATTTTCGTCAAAAAATATTTGTTTACTCATTTGTTTACGCCCGGTTGGTAGCCGAGCGGTTCGACGTGGGCGCTTTGTTCACTCAGTCATTCGGCTGATGTGTGAGTCGATAGTTCAAGCCGCAGGCAGAACGCTCGATTTTCACTAGCTGTCGTCCAACCCGTGTTAGGAATCACACGTTAAAAGGTAAGACCTCGTTGTTCGTAGTGGGGTGCGATAGCTGGTTAACAGAAAAAATATATTTTAAACATGTTTTTATCGATTTTGCTAAAGATTCGAATCTTTTTATAACCTCTTTTAAATCAGGTTCTGATTGTTGTGTACGTTTTAACATGAGACGTTTTAATTCACGAATTTGTGGATGATTGAAGTTTAACTTCAACATTTTAATGAAGCAAATCTGTAAATGATGATATTTGAAGAATATAAATTTTCCTTTGGGTTACGCGTGAAATAGCATAGTATCAAAATAAATGTATATCCAAAAAATAGAGTATTCCTAAATTTCGGTCAAGCATCATCTTGTAGTCATTTATTCTACATGATAAACTCATTCAATTTTGGGAAAGAAAAGTTTGCAAGATGTAAAGAAATAACGTTTCGACACAAACTGGAAGAAAAGTCCTCTCGAAACAGTTACTTATGTTTTAAAAAAAAATATTTGTTTTTCCGTTAACCAGCTATCGCACCCCTACAAACGACAACTTTCAGAAGTCGAAACTTGTGCGAGCTAAGGATAAACGAGGTCTTAACTTTTAACGTGTGATTCTTAACACGGGTTGGACGATAGCAAATGAAAATCGATCGTTCAAACTGGGGCTTGAACCACCGACCAACACGGCAGTCATTCGAGTGAGTGAACAAGCACCCACGTCGAACCGCCTGGCTACCGACCGCCACTTTCATATAAACATTGAATTACACGAAAGAAAAATACTTTTGAAACAAACACTTTTGTGTGATCACTAAATTATACAATGAGCATTCGTCATGGAATTGAATCAGATATCCTCATGGAATTGAATCAGAATTGCTAGAAAATATCGTATATGAAAGAGGTATAACTTCATTGACGTGGAACACTGTCTTACCCAATGGCGAGCATCGATGTTTCGGAATGGGACACGTGTCTTACTGCTCCTTCTGCACCAATCTGGATAACATAACAAGATAAAACACTCGATTCATTAAATTTTGTTTCAGAATCCGTCATTGCAGTGAATCCCATTATTCCAAATCTTCCACCCGAAGATGTTTGCGATTATATGGATGACTACGTGAAAGAAGCAAAAGGTTTGACGAAAATAACAATTGAAAACATGAATAATAATGCCGAGGAATCTGTCAGTGTGGATTACAAGCTATTTGTTGTTCATGCCACCAAACCAGAAACTGTAGGATAGCGTGAAATTGTAGGATAGATGGATCTTGAATTAAAAAAATAGTGTTCAAAGTATTCTTATATATCATTAGTACTGTTAGAGCGGGATTTTCGAATAGTTATTCTCAGAAGAATGGTGTAATACTCAGTTTTTATATCCATCATAAGAGTGAAGTGAGATTTTGTCTACATTGTAAGTATAGGTAGAGAATTTTGTTTATTGGAATGTCTAAAAATGTAGTCATATGGTATTCAGATTTAGAAAAAAAAAATTTAAACTCTAGTTTGTATTGAAACTCCAATTTTTGTGATCCTGAATATGAATTTTCTCAACAGAATTTCCTCTTGCCTTTTTGGGCATTATCGAAAGACAGTCAAACTTCAATACTTCGGGCGCTGGACAACAACTGAAATAAGCGTTTATCTTATGTTACAATTTCAAATTAGATGAAATTGGCTAAACTTTGAGATCAGGATGAAATTATTAGGAAGATCCGTTCTTAAAATACAACCAGTTGATATTTGACCAGTTTTTACAAAGAATAGAACTGAAAATTGTTATTCTCATCATTTTTGAGCTGAATCATCATCATCATAATGAGCTGCTAGCTTAAATTCGAGATTAGACGGCTAACCATGGTTATTATGGTTCTGTCAAAATTACCCAATCTACTGAAAATTTTGAAAGTAGTTTTTTGCAAATAAAAAGTTTTCTATTTTTTTTATTAATGAATAAATAACGTACATATTGTTATTGTAATGGTAATTACTGTACACGTGCTTAATTGTGATAGACTCCTGATGGTCCAGTTTGTAGTTCAGAAGTCTTGTTGACACCTACCCCGTAATTCTGATTGAACGTCAGTTTCGTGAAGAGAAATTTCGTAATTTGAACTTAAAAAATGGAGGCTTCAGAAGGATTGTCCATAGCTTCTTGATCTTCCGATTCCTCAACCCTGCTGATGGTTATAAATCACCTGTTTGGTACAATATCTTTCGCAATTAGCACACATCCTCAAGTGGAATAGATCTGCCTTCATGTACTCACACATAGAAGTGCTGCAGTCTTTCCTTCATTTAAAGGGAGGAACTTCTCTGATTTTGGGGGCTGAGGGGCGGTTTTAGGTAAGGGGTGATTAGGCCTTCTTCCAACCAAATTACTCGGAGTCTTACCCTGGCCCAAAGTTGTACCTGCAGGTATATACGCAACAGTTGGTAGACAGCCTGCAGCTTATGGAGTTTTGAGACATGATTTGAGGGTTCAGAACATACAAGATACATACAGCGCATACAAACAGGAATGAACTGACGTGATATGGTTTGTTCCGTAACAGAGCTGCCAAAAACTTTGACCGTCTTTAGAAAAACATTACTTTTTCCTCGTTGTGTATGGTACAAAGAAAGTATTTCTAGCACAAAATACCATTGAACTCTTTGTCGAACAGCAATATGCTATTTTGGGCTACTGAAACACAAATAACTAATGTGGAAGCGTTAATATTTCGATCCACCCTGTATATTAGAAATATATTAATAATTTACATATGCTTGAGAAAGTGTCACCTTTCTGTATTCTTGCGAATAACATTTATGTAAATTTATATCGATAGTACAAAGAAAGTAAGAAAATTCAGGGAATTTCGCATTTATTGTTATAGGTTCTTATATATTGTAGGAGAAAGGAAATCCTAACAATGTTACATTGTTAGGATTTCCTCATGACTTGCATTACTCATTATATTATATACAAATAAATGATATCACTATCAGAGTGTTTTGATTTCAAAATATTATGTTGTCTTTTAAATATTGATACTTATGATGACGGATCTATGAAGGGGTCAGAGTAATATTGAATGCTAATGATTTTTTTGTACGATTCCGTGCTAGAAATCACACGTAAGACACGTAAGAGATCGTTAATCTTCAGTTCACAAGTTTTTTTTTTGAGGGTTGTCGTTCGTATTGGACAAATTAGTGAATTCGATACTATTAACGTTACGCCACAATGATAATGTTTAAAAGGATTTCCTTTTATTGTTCAGACTCGTATAGAAAAATATTAAAGTGTCAAAAATTGAAATACTCTCCCGGGCCATCTTCGTAAAAAATGAAAAGAACGAAGTGCAACCGTTGACAGAAAAAAATCGATATGAAAATTAAAATACCGAGACCAGCTTCTACCTGGTATGAAATATTGTATTCCTTTTTCAATAAGACAGTTTTCACTATTTTTATTATTTCAAATTCAATATTGCTAAAAAAATACCAGAGTGAATCCGAGGCTTCAGAAAACAATCCTTAAGAAACAGTTCAGCGAAAGGTGCACGACGTCACCAGATATACGAAATACGAAGCCGGCTAGGATTCGCCATTAGTTTCAGACGTTTCTATGTTAGCGGTGTGAAAGTTCAATTATTTTTCAATTGTTTGTATTTATCTGCCTATGTTGTGGGAGTATGGAGAATGAAAAAGTCCCAAAAAAGTATTGTATAGTTCGTAGGTGTACTTATTCAATCAGAAATGCACCAAAATAATCATTTATAGGTAACTCATACCAAAAATAAAAAAGTTAACAAAGCGTTGCAAATAGCTTGTAGCAAAACACGGATATTTTTCTTTTGAGTTATTTTACGTATACTCCGTTAACATATATTTTTGATACATCCTTTATATTGTATGATGGGTTGCTTGTCACAGCGATGCTCGGTATGCCTAAATACCCAAAAAATCGTAGGAAAGAACAAGGTGAAGATTTTCAAATTTCTATATCAACTCAAGGAGATGTTCCACCTACAACGTCATTGCCAGAGGTGTCATATTCTGATTTTTCACATCTGGGAGCGACTTCCTTGCCATTTTATGCGAACACCACTTCGGTACCACATCCAGGGGGAAACATTACAATGAGTATAGTTGCGGATTCCCATCCGGGTTTAAATGAATGTTCAACTCTGTCCCAGAAGCAATTAACAGAAATTATAAGAGAAGAAGTGAGAAAAACATTACTGGCTCTTCCTGAAATAAACAAAAATAGTAATTATGTTCAATACGTACCCGACTGTAACAATATCAGGGATAACAATAGGGATAGTAGTAATGTAACTGGGCACGATTTTCAATCGAGATTTTGCCTTCCTTTAGGTTCAGCAGGAGAACAAAAAAATTTTGGGTTGCCTAAGAACCTAAATTGTCTGATACCAAATTATAGTCAAATGAATAACAGACCCAGAGAGAATAATTCCGGGGATCTGAAAGCCTGTAAATCATTGCCTACCTTTAATAACGAGGGTACTTTACACCCACTAGATTTCTTGAATTATATTGAAACATTCTTAGATGTTAGTAACGTAAGTTTCAACCAATTTACACTCTGCATCAGTAACTTGTTTGAGGGACCAGCAAAACTTTGGTTTGATGCGTTCGCGAATACTTTTGTTAATTATCAACAATTTCGGAAAGCTTTTTTGGATCAGTTTTGGAGAGCTACAAGGCAATTGCAACTGAAAATAAAATTGGACTCTGCAAGATATAGGGAAAGTGGCGGTTCTTTTGTAAATTATTTCAATAAACATTTATCAATGGCCAGACATTTACAACCCTTGACAATTGCGCGTCATTTTCCTCCGCACATTTCGGCGGTATTGGTAAGAACTGTTTCACTGTTATCGGCGGTCGACAGATTGCGACAGGCCGATTATTATTTTAATATAGAAAAAACGAAATGGGAAGGTCATGGTACCTCCCAAAACGGTATATATAATACTAATACGTTTCCGGCGGTTAATAAAACATTTTCCAAACCGAATCATAAACATTTTCAAACAAAAAATAGTTCATTGTTAGATTCACGAATTGAAACTGAAACTGCGGAAAACTAGAGTCCATCCCAGACCTAGGCTCGAATTTGGCACGGATTTTTAATAGAGCCAAGTAATACTCCGGTGAATGAGTTATTAGAGGAGTGCGATTTTAATTATGAGCCCATCGATACACGTTCCCCAATCATCTTAGTGGAAATGTATAAATTTCAATTTATTCAGCAATGATCGATACTGGAAGTACCATTTCCGCTATTTCTTTTGAGTTATGGAGTCAACTTTCAGACTTCCATGGTATAATACCCCATTTTCCGTGTTCAGGCATAAAAGTAGTTAGTGCTTTTAAAGCAAAATTCAAAAAAGTATTGTTTCAAACATCACTAAGTTTCACGATCCAAAATATCGGTTTCGCTCACGAATTCTTATTTATTCCTGACTTGTCCTATACCCAGTTATTGTTGGTATGGATTTTTTGAGACTATATAAGGTATTAATCAACCTAAAAGAGAGGTGTTTGCAATTTGTTGTGAATGAAAAACTAATAAAAGTTCATGAAAACAATTTTCCTCATCAATTTCCGCTTCCTATGACTATTTCAGCTCTCATAAACAAATCGTATCCCAACAAAATCGGAAATTCATTTACCGGATGTCCCGTTACTGTTTGTGAAAGTAATTTTGATGTTTGTCAACTGTTATTGTCTTGTGATTTACCGGAAAAAAACAAAAGTTTGTTGAAAGACGTACTACTCAAATATAAGTCGATTTTTTCGGATATACCGGGGCGCAGGAACTGTTGTGAATATTCCATAATATTGAAAAATTACAACGAAATTTTTATCAAACCGTATCCGATACCAGTAGCACACCAAGTGGCAGTTAATGAAACCATTGCACAGATGGAAAGTTGGGGTGTGATAGAACGAGCATCTACACCTTACATATCTCCTCTCATGACCACTCTTAAAAAAGATGGTTCGAGTTTGTCTTGATGCAAGACACTTGAATTCTGTTATGCAAATTGATCGTGAAGTTCCATGGCCCATTGAAGACATTGTCCGTTCATTGAATGGAAAAAAGTTTCTGTCAAAGATCGAGCTTTCTAACTCTTACTGGCAGATACCTTTGAAACATGAAGATCGAAAATATACCGGATTTATCGTAGGACATAAAAGTTATCAGTTTTGTGTTCTACCATTTGGGATCTCAACAGCGGTTAGCTCTTTTACCCGGGCAATTTCCACCATCTTTGGGGAAAAGTAAGATGACTTTTTGCTCACATATATTGACGACTTGCTCGTGATGTCATATTCGTTCCAGGATCATTTGATACATTTGGAGAAAGTGTTTTCAAGGTTGGAAAAAGCGGGCCTAACTGTTAAAGGAGAAAAATGCCGCTTCATTCAGACGTAAATGCATTTTTTAGGCTACATCGTAGAACGCAGAGTCAGATGCTACAAATGCAATACGGATTTATACAGATGGCTCAAAAACCAAAGAAGGCTCAGGATGTGGAGTGTACTCCAGATCATGTTCAGCGAGTCTTGGCCTACACCTGCCAATATAAAGGAGATGTCTCCCAGCGACCTGTCCACCTTCCTGGAAAGTACAGGATGGACGACGACCTAGGAGGACAACTCCTCGGGAGGATGTACAATGGGTCACATGTGGCCTAAGTGCGTGGGCTTACACTCACCCTCCCTACTCTACAGATACAGAGATAGGCTACATCGTGAGTCCGTTAGGTATGCGCCCGGATCCCGACCGAATACAAGCGATATCGGACTACCAACGTCCAAAGAATGTTAAGGAGGTACGGAAATTCCTTGGGCTTTGTAATTATGATAACGGGCTACGTTATTATACCACCCTGATCTGGCTCTACCCTGGTATGTCGCAACAGATGCCAGTGATTATGGAATTGCAGGCCAACTTTTCCAAATTGTGGATGGGGACAAAAGAGTCGTTGTATGGGCAAGTCGCTTATTATTGGACAGGGAAAGAAATTACAGCGTCAATGAAAAAGAGGTCCTCGCCGCCCTCTTATGTATCCAAAGATGGAAAACATACTTGTTGTCGAACAAATTCTCATTATATACAGATAGTAGGACGCTCACTTACCTTAATACTTGCCGCTTACTTTAGCCAAGAATAACTCGCTGGTCTCTGGCCTTACAGGAGTACCAAATGGAAATTGTTCATGTCCCAGGACGTGAAAATAGTCAAGTGGATGCGTTGTCGCGTTTTGCTTGTGGATGTTTTCCGATCACATCTGATAAGTGTTTTCAGCTTTATCAATTGAAGCTCTCGAAACTTTTGATAGGTACACTGAATAGAATTGTAGAGTACCAGAGTGAGGATGAATACCTCTCAGATATTATAACCAATCTTCGTTCTCCATAACAATATTCTGTATAAAAGGGGGAACTCGCCTTCCGAAATACTTCTCTGTATACCAAAAAGTATGATAGAAGAATTAATTTTAGGATATCACTGTACGTTGGGACATTTTGGGGTTTACAAAGTTTGGGTAGTTTCACGTGATGAAGTTTATTTCCATAACATGCAGAGAACAAAAAAAATACCTAAAAACTTGTGATATTTGTCAAAAAGCGAAGATATCGAAACTACCTAACCCGCCGCAGATGCAAATAATTCCAGAATCTAAAAGTGACTTGTTGGCTATCGATATCCTGGGCCCGCTGATTCGTAGTCGTGGAGGCACTTCTTATATACTAGTGGTTTTAAATGTCTTCACGAAATACGTGAAAAAAGCGACTTCTAGGACCATATTAAATCGACTGACGACTAACTATTTTCCATTACATTGTCCGCCTATGCGTATCTTTACTTCGAAGATTTGGAAAAAACATTGTCTGACTTAGGCATAAAACTAGTGTTCATATCGGTCAGACATCCCATGGCTAATCCCTCTGAACGCTGTATGCGAGAAATTGGTAGGATATTGCGGACCTATTGTCATGAACGCCATAGTAAGTGGGCTTCAGACATAGCTCTATTTCAGGATATTTTAAACCACGTCGTACACGAATCGACGGGGTTTTCACCTGCTGAATTAGAATATGGGCAAAAGAGATTAAAACTTTCACCACCGACTGTTCGTCACCCGGCCACCATGGAAGACCTTCCGCTAACCGAAAAACTAATTCTGGCTGAGGCTACTTTGAAGAGCAAGGCAGAACGTCGTGCTGTCTCTCATCCGGGCCGCCCTTACACCCGCTTCAAGCCGAACGATTTGGTACTTCTTGAATATAACAATAACTCTTCTGCGATTCGGTCAGAGACAAAGAAATTACTGCTCCTTTTTGAAGGTCCATACCGGATCAAAAAGAAAGTTTCAGAGGATGTGTACGTATTGAATCACGTCGACAGACCGGAGGAACGCGGCACCTTTCATGCCAGTCATTTGAAAGCATATCATAAGCCGGTTACTCCAACTTGAGTACACGAATTGAATGAATTCGGATCTCAAGCTGAAGAGGGGGGGCGAGATGTAGCAGAACACGGGTATTTTTCTTTTGAGTTATTTTACGTTTACTTCGTTGACATATATTTTTGATACATCCTTTATAAATTTGTATGATGGGTTGCTTGTCACAGCGATCCTCGGTATGCCTAAAAACTTCGCATCTTTATTCAGACTCTGTATCGCTTTCAACAAACGCGCAGTTTTGCATATCTCGAGTACTAAATATTAAAATTTGAATTTTTTGCCATTTTATTCTGGATGACGAGCACTATCAAGCTGTATAAAATATTGCAAAATTCGGTATGATTCAACGACCCTATTGAGCGGTCCTAACTAATGGAAAATTCTCGTATCTGGAGAATGTTTATTAGAAATAAATAAATATTTCGAAATATTCACCTCTCTCAAATGACTACACCGTTGATTCTGGTAAATTCCAGCCAAAAAACTACTACTTCCCCGGCTCATACCACGCTGGATATTGAAATATATCCGACAAACATTTATGTATGATACCTCAGAGAGGTATCATACATGTTTCTATTTCATCTAACAGCAGGAGCCTGGTGAAATTAGTCCAGTAGATCACCTACAGACCGCTTTTGAGGTATTACCTCCCATCAGTGCAGGAAAGATCCGACTCAAACAGCAAAGTGCCTGGGACTTGATTAATTTCAACGCGGCTCAACTATATGTTGTTTAAAAAAATATGTTGTTTAAAAAAATATGTTTTAAAAAATGTTTTTCCGTTAACCAGCTATTGTACCCCTACAAACGACAACCCTCAGAAGTCGAAACTTGTGCGAGCTAAGGACTAACAAGGTCTTACCTTTTAACGTGTGATACCTAACATGGGTTGGACGATAGCGAGTGGAAATCGAGCGTTCTGCCTGCGGCTTGAACCACCGGCCGATTTACTGAGTGAACAAAGCACCCACGTCGAACCGCCCGGCTACCGATATGCATGAAACCTTCGTCTAAGAGAAATATCGTTATCTAGTAACAGCTCCATCTCAGTCATGGTTTGATATCTGTTAGAATCACGGATATTTATAACTAGGTATTGCAATAGTATTGATAACAAATTGAAAATTAATCACAAGTACAGAAAGTATTAATCAAGATTCAAACCAATAAAATAATCAACTATTCAGTTGAAAAAAATTGTTTCGAAAGCATGAACCAATCCAACATTTGCCATTGTTGAAAAATGATCGACTTCGGCTAATAATTGATGGGAAGTATGATATACCTTTCAAAAAACAGGAGCCACAAAGTCTATTTAATATTCTATTTTCTTGGATATGTGACCGCCCTTCCTTGGAATTATCACGCAACTGCAAATGATGAACACTGAACAGTTAACGAAACCACAACACGTGTTTCGCCATACAAAAGCTTTCTTAAGTGTTTCCATACACGACTACACGTTTAGCGGTTGCGGTTTTGTGAACTGCCCAATGAAAATCTCACAATGAAGTATCGACCAATTCCGTCACATATCGGGAAACATTCATTATAAGTCTGAAGACAACAGCCTTCTTAGGGAGATAAATGAGCGGGTAGGCCTTATTATAACAATTCTCACACTCAAATTGTTCTGATTGAATATTCTCCCAAAGGATTTGCCTAGAATTAGGTATTCAATCGAGACTGAAATCTTCTTTCACAATGTTATCAAGGATACAATTGTTGTAAAGCAGTATTTTCAATGAAGCCTAAACCTAACACAGTACCCCTTAAATGAATCAGATGACGTGAATATGAGTAAAAACAAATAATCATTTCAGATTCATTCAATATTCTAATTATTTCATCACTACTTCTGCACAGGCACCGCTCTGAGAGCGCCTTAAGGATTTTCCTGTACCTAGAGCTTGTGTTTTCTCCTTTAAAAAATCCATATTGCAACAAATGTATTTGAAGCTGCTGATGTGTTGTCTCGAGACGACTTCTCCATAATGTGCCACTACCACAGTATATTTACATTCTACCACAGAATACTACAGTAGTTCCGATTCCGATATTCTGTGATTTTACTGTGCCAATTCTGTTAATCACAGCTGTTTGCCAAGGTTATTCCGATGACCGATGAGTGATCAGTAAAAGTAGCTGAAGGCCATACCAGCATTAATATTTTATATATTTTATTTTATCAGTATTAGCATTATCAACATAATGCGTAATAATTGTGATAATAAATAATGACACTAGATACAAAAGGAAGAAATGAAGGCATCACATACCCAGTCGTAAAATGTTTAGTAGGTAAAATGGAACATTCTGTTAACACCACACCATTGTTAGGAGATGACCATGATTCCGATGATGAGCAATTTCAGCACGAGTTTAATAGAGACGATAATAAGCCTTTGTTCAAACCATTGGAACCCCGAGACAAATTCAATACAGCCTACTTGATATTCTGCCTACTAGGAATTGTATCATTACTTCCTTGGAATTTTTATGTAACTGCAGATGATGTGAGTACTTCTCTCATACTATTCATTCTTTGAAATAGGTACCAAATTATTTCTGATGTTGGTGACTAACTTCTACTCTTTGTCAGTATCGCCTTTTGATTTTGGTCACTTCATTATTAAATGTTCCATTTGAATTTTCAATACACATGAAATTAAGGAGGGCATATAACTAACTTGGTTCGGATTTTTAAGAATTTGTCGTAATATACAGAATGTAAAATGTTGGTTACCTATTATATTCTTTTTGAATTTACAAAAATACCACATCTATTTCCTAAAATATACAGAAACCAAACCCAATAAGTTTCAAAAGTTATAATTTTATGCTACAGGTAGTTATGTCTCATTCATGAATTTGTCTCACTGCAATTTCTTTGTAGAAGTAAACCTATGAAAATACGATTCGGTAATACCTACCCACTTACTCCAATTCAAGCACAAAGAATGCAAAGTAACTTGAACTAGAGCCTAGGAGGATGTATTAAGACTAGAGAATGAGTAAACAGAAACCTAAGTACAATGACATATTCCTCATGGATCACTTTTTGCTTCCTTCATACATTTTTATTTATGTGGATTATGCAACGTTCATTGATACAAATATCCCTGGGGGATATATTTTCTCAAGAATTAGTAGTTGAGTTCCATAAGTATTGAAAAAAAAATCCCTCACCTAATCCTGAATAATGCTGAAATATGACACTTGTATTTGATCTGTTTGAAATAAGTTATTTATTATTACTTTTATTATGATTATATTCAATGATAATTTTCGGAATGATCCAAAGTTGTATGTACGGTTCTCAAATGATTTATTTGAAATTCATTTTATTAAAATATTCCGTAATAGATTTTTTGTTACAGCTTATTCATATTTTCAACATACTACCCTTATGTTTTCCAAATAATCAGAAATTGTAGGTCAGATGGTAACTTTTTTTGCATGCAGGAATTATTCAAAATCTCTCTTTGAACTTATATCTAAGGATAATCAATCATATAATTCCTACTTGATTGAATTGAAATATCATTGGGTAATTATATATTTTTGGTGGATCAAAGTATTGCATATTCTGAGTCATTCATATTTTGTTGATTTATGCCTCTGATAAGTTTATATTTTTTCAGTACTGGATGTACAAATTTCGAAATGTAAGCAAAAATGAGAGTATGGTGGGTTCATCCACAAGTGGACGCACTCCACTCCAGGCAGAATTCACATCTTACTTGAGTTTAGCGTCTTCAGTTCCAAATTTGGTGTTTTTAGTCCTGACTACTGCTATAAGCCATAGGTGAGATTATTAATTCAAAGTGTATTGGAAAAATTCACTTCTGTACAAATGTACTAAAATATGCAAAAGTTCATCGAAACAGCCAAAAAAACTGTTAGAAAAAACAAAAAGGATAATGAAATGAAATAAAAGAAAATATTTTACAATCTAACTAGAAAAACCTTGTTACCGCAATTATCCATACATAAAAATGGATCTGAATAACAAAATCTCTATGTACCTCTGCTAGTTGGTGCCTCAAAATATTCATTGAATAAAAATATATATTATATTAGACAATGGAAGTCTGAACTGATGAAATACACCACGAAACATTGTCAACCACCTTCAAACAAACGTCAATTTTGATGTTTACTTCTTCTGATTAATGTTCAGTAGAATAAGAGAAAATTCAATTTTTTTGTTTCAGAGTATCTCTAAATGTAAGGGTTGTAGGATCTCTTTTTGTTATGCTGTTGTTGATGTTGGTAACATTAGTATTTATACAAGTCGATACTGACAAATGTAAGTACTGTATAACTTCTTTTGCTATCTTTAGCATATTTATTTAGATTTTTTAATCTATAATGAAATTACGAAATATCAAAGCATAAGTGACTGGTTTTATTGAAGATACTTTTCTAGATATTTTCAAGAAAACTCAAAAAGGTGTCTATGAAAATGTTTATGATCTCCAATCGTTTGAAATTCTGTAAACCATTATTAGAGATAGAGGTAGTCCCTGTCTTGAGAACATTAATTAAAAATACAACGAAATCATTGTACAATAGCTCCATTCAGTTGTTTCTGTGGTGAAAATTTTGAAATTCAGAAGGAAGGTATAGTTCACTAGAGCCCATATTTCTAATGAAACACCAGTCAAAAATCTATTTTGATTTTTTAAATAAATTCAAGTCAGGAGTTTTACATAGAACTCTATATATTTTATCATTTGATAGAATATACAATTCTCTTTTCAATGGTCACATTAATGACCATTAACTTTTAAAGTGGTGTCAGAAACTATTTTCTTCAAATCAAATATTTCTTAAATTCATAATTATTCTAATACAAATATGGCATGAAATGAGTAAGTTAGAAATCCGAACTTCATTTCAATTTCTTCATATAATGAAGTCTGATTCAATTATCATTAAATGCTTGAGAAAGAAAAATGTATATTGAAATAACTCATATCAATTATTTATAAACATTAAATGCTTGAAAAAGAAAAATGTATATTGAAATAACTCATATCCATTATTTATAAACATTTCAATCATTCTTTTAGTGTCAAATCAAACTTTGAATTCTGAGCATTATCTTCCAATATTATGAAATTTGATTTTTATTAGATAATATCAAGGCCTAATCCGAATTATTTAAATAGAAATGATGAATAGTTTTTGATTTGCCAATATCACTGAATCACTGTAGACTTTAGAAGTCTGTTTAAAAACAATCATTTAGTTCAGGAAGATTAGCTCAAAACCCTGAAGTTGAAAAAAATTTGAAAGTATGAAATTCTAAAGTAGTTTTGAAACAGATTTTTTTGTCAAAAAAGTTGAAAGTTTCACTAGCTAACTGTTGAAGAGGTTTTACCTTTTAACATGTGATTTCTAGCATGGTTAAAGTATTGATTCACTCAGATGTTGTTTTCAAGGCAATTAATTTATAAGTATTTGGTATGAATATGGTAAAAAAAAACTCCTTCGCTAAAGCACCTTGATTGGAAGAGGAGTGGAGAAAGGGGATTGAAAGTCTTTTTTTAAATGGGTTTCAATTTTTTTTTTTTATATGCTTTACTGAATGAAAATGAAATCATTTTATGTGGCGCCGTTCATTTGTATGTGAGATGAGAAATTTGAAGCCACCAAGTTGCTTGGTGAAACGCGCATCGAGAAGAATATTGCATTTCTGGTGATTGTGAAAAGTGTTTCTTTTGGATTTATTCTACACCAGAGATTCCAGTTTTGCCTTTTCTTTTTTCTATGATGACACAATAGAAAATCCCTTCAGTTTTAACTGGAAATGAATCCAAGTCAGAATTCTAAGTATAAGCTTGTATATTTCCTCAAACCATTAGATAGAATATGAACATCTTTTCCGAACAATACAACCCACTTATATTCAAAATAAACCACCTCCAAATTCAAAATAACGGCACTATGACGTCATCTTTGGAAATATTGTCAAACAACTTGATGTAGTGAGAAACATAAAACGAAGTTTGTTTAGTTTGTGGGAAAATATCAAGAATCGAAATTTTTCACTCACTCACCATTTATTTTTTTAAATGTAGTTTTTATTTACTTCATTATATATGTACCCTTCTACATTTTTTTGTACCAGTGAAAAAGTGAAAAATTCAAAGCGTCTTTATCTCATTGCTAGTTGATAACTATTCACTCACTTTTTCTCTGGCACAGAAAAATGAACTGCATAGTATCTTGGATATTATTTTGTAGTAAAGCAGGCACGCTTAGCATGAAATATTTATTTTCTAGTACGTATGTATCTTTCCGTGTCTTCAGACAAGGTTTGATCTCTGTTAGGTATTGGTACATAGAATGTTTCTTCCCTGCTTGGGGATTTATTCACGAGATGGAGCTGTTAGTAATTAACAATATTTCCTTTAGAGGAAGGTTTCATACATACAGTAGAGCCACGTTGAAATTAATCGAGTTCCAGGCACTTTGCTGTTTGGGTCGGATCTTTCCTGCACTGATGAGAGGTTTTATCTCAAAACCAGTCTGTAGGTGATCTAATCGAATATTTTCAGCATGGTCATACTGCTGGATGAGCGTGGAACATCTACGAGACTAACCTCTGTGAGGGATCTTGCATAACCGTCTGTTGTCGGATATAAGTCAATATCCAGCGTGGTATTAGCCGGGGAAGTACTTGTTTTTCGGCAGGTATTTACTAGAACCTACGGTGTAGGTAGTTGGGAGAGATTAATATTCCAAGATTTTATTTTGAAATATTTATTTTTCAGTACTCAATGTTGAATTTAAAAAAAAATACCACCTCCTATTGAGATTTTAGAGATAAATGAAATAACATATCCCATTTAAAAAAAGAATTATATTCACATGTGTAAAATTAGGCTGGCCTGTGAGTTCGCATTGGAGAAAGTAATCTAAGGGCTTGATTGATTTGATTCTGTATTACTTGATAGATCTTCAAAACGAGAGTAATGTTTAGCTTTAATACTGGCCTGAGACTTCTGTCTTGGGCGTGGAGAAAAATAACTAATTCTAAAAATCGATATTGAAATACTTATTGACGAATTCCAACTTGAGATTTTAACTTCAAATATGGATAGTACTTCTGGAGAATCTTAAGTGACCAACTCGGAATTTCTATATCTATCAAGAAGAACATTGGATTCCGCCTACCTTGATACGCTGACGTGTTGCTCCCTAGTTCTTCTCGAACGGTAACACTTTTTCTATCGAGGGTGAGTTTCACTTATAAGAATAGTTAATGATTTTCTAAAACTTTTTCTTGTTATATTAAAGTGTTTGGTCCTATTGTGAGGACAAAGATCAATCCCACTCCCTCGTTACTGAGCTAATTTACTCAACCCTTTTGATTTGCTTAATAAAACAAGAGATGATATCTTTTCTGATTTATTGGCGAGGAAGGTCAAGAGACAATATTATGTAACTACATAAGAACAGAACAAAAATAATTTACAAAGAGATAAGAAAACTTCTTCTACTGAAATTACACAAAATAATTGGTGAGGAATCAATTAACTTTTAATCGCTAACCTTGACTTTTCCCCAAAAGTACCCCCAGAATGGCAACTCTAGATAACTTGAGAGATGACAACTTTAATATTCATTAAAAAAATAAGCTGATCAAATAACTGACCGTAGATGCATACTTTGGTAGATGTAAAATGATAGAAAGGCAGTCTTACAAGCTTCACTCACTTTTTGAAAAACAAAGAAACCAATGAGATAGAGTTAAAAGAACTGTGAGAAATAATCTTTTTACGAACACTCGATACAAAAGAACGAAAGTTTACTTGTTGAGAATCAAAATGTAACTAAACTTGTATTTGACTATTTTTTCCATTACAACTATTTCCTTCTCCTAAGAAATTATATTTTCTTACTTTGGATTTCTTATTGGTTATTGGGTGCCACTATCGATTTCGGGCCAATCTGAAAGATCGATCCTACTGTCTATTCGTTTTGAGGGTGGTTAACGCCCACAAAATCAGAATTGAAGTTACCACTTCTGTCGTGGGTTTAACTTAAGTGTTCCTCAAAAGGTGGCAATACTTGTAGTCAAAATATGAGATAATGTTTCAATCTGTGCTAATTCAGTTATTCACACTAAAATATAATATGATGGAGGTGCGTGCATTACTTTACATTCTTTATAAACCTATGACCTTCCTTCATGAGATCGTTGATAGTTGTCCGTACAATTTTTATCTCTTCGTTGGTAATTGTTGACTATGGCTTATGAAATTTGCAAGAAATACTATCAAAAAACTTGCGACGTTCGTCCAGAGGAAGAGATAGTTCTCATGTTGCCTTTCTATTTCTAATTACAATATATGTTCTTTATTGAAAAATATTCGTTCAATAACCTAATGTCTTTCCAATATTATTCAGAATACCCCCTCCCGAATTTTTTCTTGAGAACTAAGCAAACTTCGTCTTCTTTTGTTTTTCACCACATCAATTATTTGACCGATTTAAACACTCAAACATTGTTAATATTTCTGCCCAAACCATTTTTGGATTTCTACAGATCGAGTTCATTGTACAGAGTGGACCAAATTGGACACTTAAAGGAAAACTCCTGTTTTCACACTAGATAGATGAAAACTTATGGCTGTGCCTGAGGGTCAAATTTTATGACAAACTTAATGGCGAAAACTGCGTATCGATATCTATGGTCGTCCAAAGCCTACTTGATCAAAGTGTGCGTTTCAAAGTCTACATGAAAAAACCTAAAAGCTCTGTATTTCAAAAATGGATAGCAAAACATCAAGTGTGCTACATTTTTGGAAAGATAGTTTTAGACTCTGTTGAAATATGCAGAAATATACAGGGTCTCTCAATAAAAAAAGATTTTTACACCATAGAATTCTACGTCAAATAGTAATTTTGAAATATTTTCATAGAAACAAGAAATTTTTAACAGGAAAAAAGTTACAGCAACTTTTCGAAAATGCCCGTTTTTGAAAAACATGCTGTACCAGTAGAGAAATTCTCGAACAGAAATGAATGAGTGGAGAAAACTTAATTTAACCCTAAGAAAAAAAAGGATTTTGATTGGTTTAGAGTGGGTACAACAATCCTCAGATCAGAAATGTTAATTTTACCAATGTGTTAATTAATGCATTTAACATGACAAACTGTATTAAGATGTGTCAATAAAATAGATGAGAACTGTAATTTGTTGATTGCATTAAGGCAGAATAGTTCAAACTATTGTTGGAATTATTATCAACCATTTCACAGTGACATAATTCAGAATAGGATTTCGAGATCGATTAGTCTTTATGACTAACAGAAAGAATGCATGGAAACTATTTGTAGATTCTCAACTTTGTTAAAATGATCCTTTCCTTTATAATTTTAGAAAACACCTATTCACTTTTTAGGGCAACAGACGTTCTTTGGTGTTACCTTAATATCTATAATTCTACTTAATGGTAAGTATACTGATTCAGACAAATCTACATTTGTTTAAAAAAATAGCAATAATCATTTTATCACCATATTTTACGATAAAAAGTACCTTTGACGCATTTTAACAATGTTTATTTGGTCAAATTCTCGTTTGGACTTGAATTATTGAAATTAGTCTATATATTGATGCCGTTCATTTTTTCCTAATTTAAATTTTTTGCCTTTCAGCTTATGTCGTTGCTAAATTAGGTCGTTGAGCGATTTTTGGCCAATTTTTATCTACCAATTCAAATTGAACTAAAGTGCTGCCAAAACAGACAGAAAAATTAACCAGGCATTTAGCAATGATAGTGTTAATGAACGCACCATGAGGATTTGAGGATCCTACTGCTATATGGTATGGGGGAAGAACTGAGCGTCAGCTCCCAAGGGGTTATTGATGGTTTAAAACGTATTGGAAGGGTTAATGACATCGAACAGTTGATGCCCCACGACTCGAATGATCAACAGAAATTGTCACGTTTTGTGGTCTGTTTTTTACTTTTGCGCAAACAAAACGATCCTTTTTTGGATCGGATCGCCACGTGTGATGAAAAGTGGACCCTCTACGACAACAGGAGAGTTCAAGACAGTGGTTGACCCCGATGAGCCACCCCAGGCAATTCTCAAATGCGAAAATCTACAAAAAAAGACCATGGTTACTGTATGGTGGTCAGCGGCGAGTGTGATTTACTATAACTTTCTGCAACTGGGCCAAATCATCACAGCAGAGTCCTATTGTGAGGAAATCGACCAAATGTACCGAAAATTGCGTCAGCAACTGCCGGTACAGGTCAACAGAAGAGGTCCGATCCTGCTCCACTACAACGCACGTTTACATGTTTCATAAATCGCCGCCCGAAAATTAAACGAATTGAGTGTCAAAGTTTTGCCTCATCCACCATACTCCCCAGATCTCTCGTCAACCGACTACCATCTTTTGAAATTTACTCACTGGTAGAACCTTTACCAATCAGGACCAGACGAAAACAATGTTCATTTTGACGGAATCAATCGACTTGTGTTTTGGTTGGCTTCCGGGTCTTGCCGTGGTCTTAAAACGTTTAGAGATTATAACCAAAAAAGACCACAGCAAAACCCGGAAACCAACTAAAACATTAACGCCAGCCGTGAAAGCCTACATTCCTATATTAATAAACTTGTGTTACATTGGCAAACGTGCACCTATTCAAATGGGCACTTATTTTGATTAAATTGAAGAAGTAATCAGTAAAATATTACAGATCAAAGTAGACCCTTAAAAACGGCCAAAACTTTTGAAACAGCCTAATACCAAGCCAGCCTTGTCGATGAGTGATGTTGCTTTTGTTTTTTAGTGTGCAGCGCCATCTTTTCTGGAAGTTTATTTGGTGCAGTAGGAAAATTTTCTCCCAAATACATTACCGCCGTCATAGGGGGTCAAGCTTTAGGTGGAGTATTTGCAGCTTTGGCTCAGATAGCTTCTCTTTCGATAGGAGCTTCTTCGACTCATTCGGCTTTGGTTTATTTCATTATAGGAAACTTGACGATAGCCATATCGATATTTCTGTACATTATGCTGGAAAAGTCTTTATTTTTCAAGTATTATATAGCTGATCATGCTGTGATAAACGAGTTGTTGACCAACTCGTTACCAATGAATTATTCTTATAGGACGATTTTGAAGAAGATGTGGTGCTACGGACTATCGATTTTTGTTACTTTTGCAGTCTCACTTGCAGTGTATCCTGGAGTAACAGTTCTGATTGATTCTGAAGGCAAAGGACATGGGAATAGGTGGAATGGTATGTATGTAGCACACTTGAGATTTTATTCATTTTTTATATAAAAACATTTACAATTAGAAAGTGGTCGTTACCCTTCATTAAGCATTATGGAATGACAAGCTGATGTTCACAACTTCATTTGTCTGGAATTCAAGTTTTTTGGGATCTTCTAGATTTTGTAACAGCAAAAAGTTCTTGTGTAATTGCCCAGGTTTGATTCATAGGAAATTCGTTTTACAAACTATGAATATAACTTTTTTATTTATGAACCGAAATAAATAAATCGAACTCCAATAATAGTTTTACTCAAATATCTTCCATGTACTGTGATCGGTTTTTATTATATGTATTGATATTGTTTTAAGGAAACAGTTCTAGCATCTTCAAAGGACCAAAGTTCTTACGTAAATTCAAGATATTGGTTTGAAAAATGAAAGGTTTTGTTTTTATATCAAAGTTGCAAACCATTTTCTGAAAACTGTAGCTAAAAATCGTTATCTTCTGAAACTAATGTATCAGAAACTTAACCCTAATTACTAAAACTAAAATAGTTACACACATTACAATTGAAAAAATTAATGGACGATGTATTCATTTCCACATTTTGGGATCAATGGTTTCGGTGAGCTAAAAATTTTTAGTATTTTATGACTTTAACATTATTGGGAAGTAACTTGTTTGATTTCAAAAAATTATATATCAACCTTTATACAGCACATAACTATGATAATAATAATAATCTTTATTTCAACTAGGCATCCTAATATACAAAAACATTTTTTAAATTGGATGTTCAGTCACAGTACATCTTCATAACAATAAAACATGTATGCTCGTAATTATCCAAGCATTCAATGAATATAAAAAAATATCAATATTAATTACAAATACTAGATATATATGTTATTATAATATCAATGATAAATAAACATAAAGAATTCATTCATTGCAGTCCTCAACTAAATTCGGAAACTAGTTTTTTGCCAATCTTTGATATCACTTATAATTACAATTTTCAATAATTTGCATAGATAGATAGACATATACTTTATTGTCTAAGAAAATACAATCTTATTGACAAAGCTTGTTAAAAAATCTGGTATGTATAGCACTTCAAAGAATAAAAGAAAAGAAACAAAAATAAAGTCATAATAAAATGTCCAGACTCAGTCCAAAATTCAAAATCATTATTTCACAAGTTGAAAGCTAGAAATAAAATAAACGATAATGTATATGTATAACTCAGTATAAGATTTTTAAATATAGAAAAGTTTTCGATAGTAGAAGATGAGATTTTGATGTTTTCTTCCAGCGTAGAATCGCATATTTAAGAATTAAATGGAAAAAAAGAATGATAAGTTATCAGCCATTTCGATTTTTTTTTCATTATTCTGATTGTTAAAGCTCCTTTACTTGTTGTATTGCACATATTAATTATATGATCTATCCACCTTAAATTTGAATCAATATTAACATCCAAAGAAGACCACAGCAAACCCGGAAACCAACTTACATTCAGTTCGTTATAATGATTTGATTTACACAAAAGCTGAAATGAGGCCATTGAAAACACTAAAATATATATTCCAGTGGGACATAACCTTCATGAAAGCATGTTTAAATTATATCTGATAATGGTTCGATTATATATGGTATGATGCGCTTGATAACAAAAGTGCTAACACCGTTTATATCTTCAGTTCTTTTATTTTTGAGTTTATTCATTATAATTAAAATTGAACAGCTAATATAGTTTTCCAAGTTTGTTATCAGCTCAAGGAAAAAGCACTGGAAAGAAGGTGAAAGAACTATACAACCTTGCATGCACTTTTGACAACTTTTGTAGTAGAAGTTGCTTATCCAAGGAGTCAGCGCCTCAGTCATCACACTATATCTCAAAATCCTTTCCTTCAAGTTTATAAAAAAATTATAATTTATTTTTCAAATGTACTGTTTCACATGAAAACTGAGAAAATGGGGAGTTTCTAAAGCCACCAAAGATTTCATGTATTTCATAACATGGTAACTACACATTATAGATCGTCGATCCAGATCAATTTTTTATGTTGATATGATAAATGTTTGGAGAAGTAATGCGTCCCTATATAAACTGCAATGTTTATCAATACTTTTTATAATGACTGAATAACGGAAAGGAACTGAATTGACTCTCAGAGCATGTCCAAACTATGATTCTCTGCCTTTTTGTCAAAAATGAAGTATATTTTGGGTCTGCAAACACATTTGCATTGTCTGCACATGCAGAAGTTGTAATCAGTGAGATTGAGCCACTTATGCTTTAATTTTAGAGAACCCTATAAAAGCAAGTCTAATGGCGTTAAATCTGATGACACTGGGTGGCCACATCATTCATTCACAGCGCTCTATCAATCAACCCTCTAGGTTAAGTTAGGTACAAAGTGAGTGGGTCTATTCGACCCTCCACCGCAACCCGCAAGGGTTAATTGTGGCTCACACCTAGTCACACTTCTTAAGGAAGCCGATTAGTTTGTATGGGGAGTGGTCTTTCAGGTCAGACGGTAAGAGTACGGCCCTGCCAAACTCTAAAAACCTGACGGTCCCCAGCGGGGCTCTGCTGTTTCATCATTTTCCAAACAGAGGCAACACACACTGTCATCCGACAGTCAGAGTCTCTGCATATGATGATTCAAATGACAGTGATCTGTAAGAAGGCCTGTTAGACATTGTATTTCATCCCTATTGTAGTTCAACAACTGTTTGGTATCATGCTTTGAAGGGTGAATAAATGCCTTGGAGTGAGCCAATCCTGAAAAATTCTGCCAGAAGTCCACAAATCTTCTTGCCATCTAGGTGTTCAATCTTCGTTTGGCAAAGCCTAAAGCGATGCCAATGAGAGGTATTGCCAGGAATACACACCGGAGACAATCTGTTAAGTCTTCCCATCGAGGAGAGTCAAACCTATAAGTTAATTTATTGAAAATGTAAAATAATTGAAATTTTCTGACCAAGACTCTTCTAATATAAGCTTGTTGAGAACTCACGACCAACCTAAAGAGCAAAACCATCTACATGAACAAAATTATTCACAAAAAAAACAGAGATTCTAATGTTACCCTTCAATATCAGCGGACTGTTTTCACCAATAATGACCATCATTCTTTTTATCAATATTTTTACAGGGCGGTGGACCAACACGAGAAAGAAATAGCATCATCGATCATGACGATTTTTATGGGATTTGGATTAACTCTCGGATCAACACTTAGTTTATTTATGGTTCGACTTCTGTAAGATGTATTTTACAAATAGGATCTCAGTGACACATTCCTGACTACTTAAATCTAGTCCATAAATAGAATCTGAAATATATAATTGCTGTTCTTAACTTATTGTATACATATCCCATTAAATGAAAAGAAAAAACTGTTTTAACACAATACTTTACAATTAGTGCAATCCTTGATGTGACATTATGAAAATGTTTCAATAAATTATTTTTTGATTTTAGTGATGATTTGATATTTTTTTTCATCCTGCATGAAAAAAAAGTCCACAGTATGATTTCAAGAGCCACTGGCAAACATATATTTCAGCCTGTTGGGCATCATCAGTACCGATGAGTAACAATGTTATTATTCAGTTCAAAAATTAAAAAACAAATTTGGTTTGTTAAATATCCTCTTTTTCTAAGCTTACTTTTACACCACCTTTAATCTATCACGAAAATGTGAGAAAAAATGTGAAACGTGTAGCAACTTGTGGAAGATAATAAGTAGAGAGGTCGTACCTTTCAACGTGCGATTCCTAGCTCGGAGGAGTCGTGAAAAGTTGTATTGAGGTGAAAAAATTACTGTTGATGTCATGCAGATGTAGATATATATATACTATCCCGACAGTAAAACTGCAAACCATTATCAGATCAAGTGTCTCAAATAATGGAAAATGTAAATGACACTGTATCTACAAAGCACAGAAAAATCAATTAGAATCAATATAACTTCAGTTTGGATAGTTCCAGTAAGGTCCAACAAATTACCAATATTAGTGGGGGGTCCGGAAATAACTCAGTTCACCACCTTTGTCATATTTATTGATCTAATAACTGCCATAATACAAATTTAAAGCTTTTTTTTAATAAATAAAGATTAGGAGATTATAAAATGAACACAAATATATAATGTGGACAGTTAAATGACCAATGCAAAAACAAACGAACATACACAGAAATGTGAAAGGTATTGTTAAATGAGCTTGCACCACCTGTAAAAAATTAAAGATATTTTGTTTATTTCAACTGCATATTATGTGAACCAATCGATTTCTTGTCATTAATTCTGTACCAAGAGTTGCCACATTTCATTTAAATAACTATTCATCAATTTATTCACAAAAATACTACAATACTCTATTACCCTATTCAAATCAAGATTTTTGACTAATATTAATAATTTTCTACAATATTCAGCACACTTTAAGACTACCAACCATTTTTACAGTTTTTGGAGAATAGAAACCTTCTCGTACTCAAATTTTTACTAATTTCAATTTGTAAGAAAAATCACTTAGTATGGTGAAGCTATGAAATTTAATAAACTAGGAATAATAATTGTGTGTAGGCTTTCGCGGCAGGTGTCTAACAAATTTTCCAGATTTATTTGCGGTGGTCTGCAGATTCGTATACCTGATGTTTCATCTGCTACTGCGGCAGACATCAAAGACAATGCGGCAACGTTCCAAGTAAGCATCGAAGTTTGCGTATCGCAGCAAGGTTGATCACTTCGACCGTTGCCTTATCTGTCGCAGTAGCAGACGAAACATCAGGTATAAAAACCTCCAGACCACAGCTAATAAACCCAGAAAAATTGGAACATTTTGTTAAACTACCTTCAAATAGCGATAGTTGAGTTGAAATTTTACAAGTTCTAGTCTATTCAGAGAAACTTTTTCTGAATTGAAGGGGTTATGTTTTTGGAGTGATTAATTTTTTTCCCAAAAAACTTTTTCTGTTCTGCATGATTTTTTCAAGTCTTCAAAATCGCCGCTGGCTGAATTTTTTACTATACCTTCATTTCATAGTAGATAACCCCAGAAACTAACAAATATCTTGTGTGGAATTGGTTTTTAATCAACTTTCAAATATAAAAATTTGATATAAGTTGCATTACAACAAAATAAAGGAATGAAAAAATCCACTTAAACTGCAGCAACTTCACTTCCCTAGGGTGGGGGGGCTTTATTTAGATTGGATTGTATCGTTGCGCATGTAGAACAGCAAATAAGAAACTCGCGTTTTTTGAGGCTTCAGCATGTGGAAGGCATTAGTCATTTAGTGTCCCTTGTTGGCCTTTTTACCGTCATTGTAAATGACGGCGAATAGTTTGTACTGCTTATCTTTTGGATACAAGTGCGAATACATTTTCTTTCAAGTTGAATCCAATTTCAAAGCCTTCATGATTTTCGTGCAACTGTCGTGGCTGTGATCGAAAAATTTCAGATGCATTAAATAGATAACAGGGAGTTCATAGAGCATTGCTTGCTCCAAAGCTTTGACCGGCTCATTACTTTTCAACAAACCACCCCCTCTAATCTTTTCTTGGAGAGCAGTACTTCTAGCGCTTTCCTAACAGTTTCTACTTTCACAATGTTGAGTGGCAGTGTGAGGAAAGGCTAGATATTCTCATTAATGTGATCTCCAGCATGATGTATGCTCGACTTCAGTTGCCCGCCAAATATTTCGCTTATCATGTACTGGAAGTCTGTTCTTTTGGTTCTTGAATCATTGCCCGTTGCTGAATCAACAGGAGGTTTTTCATCTTCAGTGCAACATTTAACCAACTCCAAAATTTCAACATTGAGTCCTTTCAACAGAATACCTAGAAACTCTTCTGCATATTTGCAACATTTTATGAATCTATATCAGACCCAATAGGGTGTCCATGTTAAAGGTAACTGCTTGGTCTTTCTTGGAATTTTTATCCAGTTTCCTGTCTTTCTTTCTAACGTTGGAAGATAAGTAATCAAACTGCCTCACAAAACGACACATTCAAACTAAAACCAGGATGGATTTCCTTTTCTCATTCCACGATATATTTTTGCTCAGGCTGTTCAGCAATTTGTAGTGGATTACAGGGTGGCTCACTTGGGCCACTCTCATGATCAAATTTATTTCAATATCTAATGAACAGGTTATATTATTGAAAACTTGGATACTCTAGATTTACGAGTTCTTGTTTAATTGTAGAGGAGAACAATAGTAATGAGCCATCCTGTTATATAGAAGAATAGTGGTGACTTTGAAAACATATATTGTTGTGAAATACAACTTTGAATTGATAACTTTTTTTTTAATGGTAACTTATACGTATGGTAACATGATGAACAAAGACATAAAATTTTCTAATAAAAAAAATCATATATATGAAAATTTATGCATTTAAAATTCCACTTTTTTAATCAATAACAAAGTACTTTGACTTCATTCAGTTGGACTATTTTCACTTTTCACAAAAGTGTGTGTCTGAATTTCTATCACTTTCCAAAATTGTTGTATTTGGAAAATATTTTGCATACATGATAGTCCAGTATGAAGGATTAGTTTTTGCCAATAAAAAAAACTTGGAACTAGTTTATTTGTTGGGACCTTCCAGAGGATATTCTCTACTAAAAAATTTAGCCAGCTGCAACTCACCCTGCATTCTGTACATTTTAAGCAGTATAAGAACTGTCACACAAATATAAACAAAACATCACAGTGGATATCTTTAATGTATACAACACCAAAAGTGTGGCAACATCAACAACTTTCAAGTGCTTATCATAGTTCTTCCTTTTCTTGTCAAGTGGTAACGCTAAGTGTTTTGATGGTCTAATAGTCTGTCAATCTTTATGCAAGTGCCTACAAACTGGACAAAAATATGCTTCCTTAAAAATAAAATGTACATATTATCTTAGAACTACAAACATTACTATACAAATATTTCGAAGAAACCAGGAATGCATACTGAAGTAGTCTCAAGGCAATGGATTCTAATCACATTCAAAATTTTAGACGAGTATATAAAACAAGGTTCTTTTGACATACTCACAAGTTTTGAAGCTTAGTAAAAAAATAAGAGCCTCTCCTGATGACTTGCAGAGAGCATGTGCCATCCCCTTTTTATACTCAAATATTGGAGTATAGCCCGAATACAAATTATAAGACCTGTGAAATGATGAAAAATTAATCTTATGTTCCATTTCAAGTCTAGTTACGAGGGACACAACTTATATTTTGAGGGTTGGTAAAACCCAATGTTGTTAGGTGTCAACTGACGTTTATACAAGGAAGTTTGACATTTTCGACCATAGCCTTCTTCAGAACGTTTTGTTATTTGAGTGTGATTTGTGCTGTTTACGGTCTTTTCAAAATTGTGCCTCGGTGAAAAAAATCAACTCTTGATAATTTTGGTACATTAATTAAAATACGTCCAATTTAGGCTCCTGTTAATCAAATCAATGCTATACTAAAACCAGTAATGATTGAGAGTAGAAGTAAGCCCAGTTGACAGCAAATCGGGGGCGTGCTCATTAATTTTTGAGAGGGTTAAGAATGAAAGAAAAATTCTTAGTACAATTAGTTGAAATATTCATACACATTTTTTATTTATTTCATTAAAACTTTGCAATATCGTAATTTACCTAATCGTTGTAGTCATTAGGTGGGCCTTATGAAAACGGAGTAATAATCGTGGTAATTATAGTAGGTACCAAATAAATTAACAATATTAATAAAAA